CGGAACAGTGACTTAGAGCTTCCTTTCCCCAAAAGATGTAACTGAGGATCTTGACTGGAGTTTTCAAGCTCATGCAATGCAGCTTAGCTATCACCTTCTCACAAAAAGAACTACAAAGATGGGAATGTATGAGAAGCTGCTAAAATACAAGCTATGATAGTAGAATAACTGCTCCTTTCACTTCCCTGCCATTGTTGGACCGTTCTCTGCAAAGCTATGAGGTGATTTTGCCCTTCAGCTGCTACAAGAAAGAGGAAAAGGAACGTTTTTACATACCTTTTATCTGGACCATGGCGTGGGTTAAGCCACTCTGGGATTATTTGGTGGATTTTTTTTCAGGTTCCTTTTTCTTTTTTGTTTTAACAGATTTAGTGGATTAAAATACAAGTTAATCTATAACATCTTAGTTTATATAGCTGTGTCCTAGGCACATCCAGGAGTTTCTGCTTACAACTGAAAGAAGCTTGCAAATTTTACAAGTATTTGCCCTTTGCTGCCAAGCAGGACAGTAGAAGAGTGAGCTGGATATTTTTCTGCCTTGCATGTGGGCACAGTACTATTCATTTATTTCCTGACGTCACTTTTCAGTAGTGTATGATGCAAAGAATCCAGTTCCTCTCTTAGGTTCTGCCTGTAAAGTTGATGATCAGTGATAGTAAATGTAGATATGCAGGTCTGACCCAGGTGCATGAAGAGATATGAACATGAATGATCCTGGTTTTGTCATGTCACTCCTTTAAGTAAGGAGCTGCACTTCTGTGTTATCAGTGTTCTCACAGATATAATGGCATAGATTTAGTAGGGGCCTGCAGCAAGAAACACGGATGCTTTGCAGCAAATACACCAAGGGGAGTTTGTACCGTGCATAGAGAAATCTGTAGAAGCTATGAGAACCTATTGCACTGAGTTAATGATTCCATGAAATAAAGGGTTAACAGCTGACCAGTGAGTCTGGACTCTGCATCAGACAATAGAGAGGACATAGCTGAAATATTCAGCAAGTTTGTTTTTAATCGAAATATAAACAGAGCTGCTTTCATGGGAAGTGCCTTTCAGATACACTTGTTTCTAGCCTGGGAAGAGTTGCACAGAGTTTGCCTTCTTCCTGCAGATTACCTGCCTGGCTGCCAGTGGCTTTTCACTCGTAGTTTAGTGTTTTACACCTGTGAAAATTGGGTATGAAAAGAAATGCTTCATCTGTGAGCATGACAGCGGTCCTTCCCTCATGCAGCGTTTGGTGCTCTAAGGGTAATAGCAACAGTCCAAGGCCTGAAACAAGGGAGAAGCAAATCTTGGTCCATTTCTTCAAGCAAGTGCTGTTATTGGTGGGAGAAAGAGAGGACTTTTCTGTCTAAATGCTTTAGATTAACTCTTATGCACATAGGTGAAATCGCATTAGAGTGGGAGAAGATTTTAAGGTATTTCAGGAGTGCCGCTCCCCTTACTGCCCCTGGGTTCTTGGTAACTGGAGTCCAGTGACTCCCCTATATAGTCAGGCATCAGGTGAACAGACACAGAGGCATGAAAACAAGCAAGTGTATGGAGTTATGCTTGTAATCATAATTCCCATGCCGGCAGAGAATGCATTAACTTCTCCCATAAGTAGCAGAATCATCTCAGCCTGCAGTATAATTGGGAAGCATCTGCAGGTTTATGTGCAGAGATGAGATGTCTGTTGCGCTTACAATTTGTCTTACAGATGCTGCTCTCAGTAGATTCATCTGCTTTTAGCCTAGTGAAAGTTGTGTTTCTGGGGAGGCAAGTAATATTACTTTACTATATATTGAAATCACTGCTCAAGGTTTAACATCAAGCTTTATAATACTTGGGTAGACAGTCAATCTTTGTAATACTTGCGTAAATAAGCACCACTGATTTCAGTAGGACTGTAGCCTAAATCATGGGTTTATGCAGCCAGCTTTTTCTTGACTGTGTTTGCACCAGTATCGGAATCACTGTAATCTATCTGATCTATTAGATAGATACAGATTGAGATTTCTATAGCTCTTCCACACCACACACATTTCTGCAGTATTTCCTTAACATTCACTTTTATGGCTGGCGTGGATATAGTTAAAGTAATGGATATAGTTAAAAGACAGTGTTGCAGTTTTCTAATGTTTCCCTCATCCAATTAAATGTTTGCTCTGTACAGTATGTGTGCTATGTGAGGAATTCAGATGGTTTTCAGACAGGGCAGTGATTTGCAGATTTTCTTATCTCAGGCATTTCTTTTAAGTACCTTGCACCCTCCTCATTCAAATAATAGCAGAGCCAGGCTCTGCCATGAATTGAAGGGAAAAGAAGATTTATTTAGACTTGTTTCAGTGGAGCTCACAGAAATAGTGAGAACCTTCCTCTTTACATTAGAAAGATTTCTTTATGGAAAAGCTACATGATCATTAACATATCTTAACTTTTTGTAGGACTGGAATTGTTCCGTAACTTTCTTGTGGATTTTTTCTCCCTCAATCTTTTGAAGTGTATCTACTCAAGAGACAGTAATTAGAGATTGTTTCATCTGTGATTGTCTTACTGGGTTCCAGCCCTGTGAATGTTGAGGTCAATGGAACCATTCAGGTGTATGAAGCTATTTAGATGCACAGACATTTGCGGTATCTTAGTGCATGGCCTTTTCTGTGGTAGAAAATAGTGATGTTGAACCTGGCCTTATGTGAATAGTTGTTGGATTGCTTTAGACTATACCAGAATAATTAAATATAATCCTCATTAGTGCTTGACTGGTTAGTAAAATGTACCTGTAAAGAAAGGGATTAAACTGTTCCTGTATAAATCTCTTCAGTAATAGCATCCACATTATTCCTCATCCAAATGCATCCGTTTTAACGATATCCCGTAGTATTTTTGTCCAGTATAATTAAGTTGGACATAGTTCAGACTTGAATCAATTTAGAAACCAATTACTCTGATGCTATTTGCAAGCTATTAGAAAAGTTTACAGCTGTTTTACTTTTTTGTCTGTGTGGTGTGAACAAAGTTACACCTGAAATCTGTAGCTGTGCTGGTAACTAAACCCCATGCTGCTCTGTGCTGCTCAACTGTCTTTCAACCCCAGTTCTATCCTTTTCTCCTCGTGAGCAGAAGAGTGGGAGAAGACTGGCTCCCTCATCTTCATTCCCTCCCATCAGGCTTTTACACACAATGATAATATACCCCTGAGCCTTCTCTTCCCCAGGCTGAACAGTACCAGCTTTCTCAGCCTCTGCCTCTGTGAAAGATGCTTTAGTCCCAGTGATGCTCCAGGCATTTTTGTGGCCTTGCGCTGGACTTGTCTCTCTTGTACTGGGGAGCCCAGAAGTGGGCACAGAGCTCCAGATGTGGCCTAACTAGTGCTAAGCAGAGAGGAAGGATCACCTCCCTTGACCTGCTGTCCACACTCTTTCTGATGCAGTCTGGGATACTGTTGACTGCCTTTGCCATGATTTTTTTTTTTTTTTGCCAATGCCGTTGTATTGCTGGCTGATAGTCAGCTTGCTGTTCACCAGAACTGACCCCCAGGTCCTTCTCTGCAGAGCTCTCTTCCAGCCGGCCCCCAGCATGTACTGGTGCCTGGGATTATTCCTTCCCAGGTGCAGGAGTCTGCATTTCCCTTTATTGAACTTCTTGAGACTTCTCTTGGCCAATTTCTCCTGCTTTCAAATGCAGCACAACCATCTGGTTTATCAATCCCTCCTTACACTTTTCTATTGTCTGCAAACTTGCTGATGAAACTTTATCTCATCATCCAGGTTGTTAATGAAGGTGTTGAACAGTATTAGCCCTAGCATCAACCCCTGGGGTATAATGCTAGTGAGTTGCCTCCTAGTGGACTTGGTGCAGCTGATCACAAGCCTCTGGGCCTAGCCATTCAACTAGTTTTCAATGCACCTCACTGTCCACTTATCTAACACATGCTTTGTCAGCTTGTTTATGAGGATGTTATGGCAGATCATGACAAAAGCCTTACTAAAGTCAAGATAAACAACATCCACTGCTTTTCCCTTAGCCACTAAGCTAGTCAGTTCACTGAAGAAGGCTATCAGGGTGGATAAGCATGATTTCCCCTTCATAAATCCATGCTGATAACTCTCAGTCATCATCTTTGCCTTCATGTGCTTGAAAATGGTTTCCAGGGTTGGTTGCTCCATCACCTTCCCAGAGACTGAGGTTAGGCTAGCCAAGCCTGCAGTTCCCTGGATCGTCCTTCATGTCCTTCTTGAAGACACGAGTGACGTTTGCTTCCTTCCAGTCTTCAGGAATCTCTCCCAATTGTTGTGACCTTTTAAAGGTTATCGAGAGTGGCCTTGCAGTGGTATCAGCCAGCTCCCTCACCTCTTGTGGGTGCAACCTTTCAGGCCCCAATGGACTTAGACATGTCCAATTTGTTTAAGTGCTCCTTTGCTTGGTCCTCCTCCACCAAGGGTAAGTCTTCCTAGATCCAGATTTTTCCTGTGGCCTCAGGGGCTTGAGATTCTCAAAGGCCTGTCTTACTGGTAAAGGCTGAGGTGAAGAAGGTTTTGAGTACCTCAGTGTTTTCCATGTCATTTTCCACCAGGTCCCCTGCCCCATTCAGCAGTGGGCTGAATGGGCAGGCTGAACTAATACTGCAGTTTCCTATCACTTTAGTGTTTAAGTGCACACTGATAGTGCTTATAGTCATATAGGACATTTGACTAGACATATCTGATTAACACTGCGGACTGTGGAATGCAAAAGAACTTGGAACAGACGAGTCTGTTCTCATCTTCAGGGCTAGAGAATGTACCCTGGAGACCTGATCAAACAGTGTGAGTGGTGCAATTCTGTAATCTTTATTCCCTCTACCATTTGTCCTGCTGGATGTTTTCAGCAATCAATGTAATGTTGTGAAATAAAATGTTATTGCTCAAACAGATGAAAACTCTTCTTTATAGTCCTAACAGGTTGTTTTATAAACACTTCTTTCATAAAAATGTGAGTTGTTTTTTAACTTGTCTTTTACTTTGTTTCCTTTGCTGCAGAATCTCGAAGTTACACGGAAGCCATTAACCACTCTGTGGTGATGTCTGACAGCGCTGTGGGCACTAACCCTGCTGTGCTGAGGGCCAGCATGCAGACGGATCCTTCCTTTCAGCGCTGTTTTGCATCTTCATGTACTGTTTCAACTAACAGTCCTATTCCAGGGGGAGAAAGGTAGGAAAAGATTCTCCTACGTTATTGTTTATTTCTCATAACTATAGTTTCCAGCCAAGATGTTACGCTTGCATCTTCATTGCAGAGCATTTGTCCAAGGACTTTGGGTTTGCTTGTGACATTTAATGATGATGTTGTCCACCAGCTGGCCTTCACCACATACACAGATGTTATTTATAAATATGTCAGGGACACAACTAGCTTTAAAGATAAATAGGAATATAGAAATAAATAGGAATTTATAGCTCAGTTACTTTATTATGTGCTAGCACAAGCTCATACATATTTTCCTGTGTGCTTAACCAGCTTCCCTAATAATTTACTGAAAAGCATATCATGAAGTTTCACATTAGAATAAGTTGTATATAAGAGAGAGGGAGCACTCTTCTCACTGCAGTACATGCGTTTCTAGTCAGTGAAATGTCAGAGGATTTGTTTTTGGTAGCGAATAGCTGACTCCCTTTCAACCCCTCAGCAGGCTGAGGGGCTTTACTATCTCTCATTTGTATTGTGGTAAACATGTAGGGCTTGAATAGTATAAATTTACAAAATAGTCCTTGTCCTAAGGAGCTTACAGCATAAGATGAGAAATAGCAGGAAACACAGCAAACAAACAAGGAGTCCCAGGTTACTGTTAGAAGGTTCAGAAGACCACGGCAATGAACGGTCAGTCATTAGCTGTGCCCTATATTTACTTAATAGATGAGGTGTTATGTTACAGCTGATTAGGTTTCCTTCTCTATTGCTCTGCAACAACATTCCTTTGTGGCTAATTATCTTATTCTTGTTCTTGGATAATTGCCTCGTTTTTCACCCTAAGTATTTGGAATGTTGTTTGTTGGTGTGTCAGGCTCTCAGTGAGGTATGTCGATACCTATTTATCTTTTATTTATCTTCCCATCTAACTGATTTCATTTTCAATCAGTACTTTGACTGTGAAAGAATGTTTTTGTTTTGTGATTTATGAATGTGAATCATAAGACTGAGGAGAAGGCAATGTAACAATGTTACATTTCATTTAAAGTGGATATGAATTAAAAGGTTATCAGGCAATGGAGTCATTATCAAGTTTGCATTCCTACTTCAACCTTTATCTAGAAAATTTTGTTCCCTTCTTTCTAAGTATTTTTTCTGTCACTTTTCATCTAGCAGATAGCTACAGCTGTGCAGGTTTTTTTTCTTGCAGTGATGTCATCTTCCATTTGCTTCCATTCCCTTTCTTTATGGCCTTTCTACTTTGATCTATTCAAATCTACTGGTATCTATTTCCACAGTTCCCTTTTAATTAAAAATCCTTTCTTTTTTTATGTGTCTTCTGTCAGCTTTTTTCCCTTCACATCTCACAATGAGTTTGTTTTCTCTACATTTGATGTTGCTGGTAATGTTTTCCAGCTACCAACTAAGGGCATTTCACTTCTACAAGCAAGGAGACAATGTAAACTTTTATCAGATGGTTTCATCAGAAGCTTAGTTTGTCTTGTTTAGAAGGATATTTGTTGTTCTTCACTTGAGCAGGTGGAATTGCTACCCAGTAGAAAAATCTAATGTTTGCTGTTGAAATATTTAATTCTATCAATCAAAATGATTCCATCATCAAATAAATTAACCACTGGACCTGCCTCCCTTCCTTTTTTAATATAAATTAGATTAAAAAGGACCTGGTCTAAGAGTTGGGTCTTGTGAACTGTATTCTTATCATAGTTATTCATTTATTGTGTGATGGTGCACAACTACCTCCTTAGCCCATTTCTTTTCTTTTTTCTTTTTTTTTTTTTTTAAACGAGCATAAGAGACTCTGTATGTAAGAACTGCTGTGCCAGTGTCAGTTTTCTTCCATAAACCTCTGCCTTTGATGGCAGCCTTGGCTTAAGAAATTCTTGCCTCCTGCTGCTCTTCTCCAGGTAGCACTTCAGCTCACCACATAGAGATCTCCAGGACCACTGTATGTGAAGCAATGCTGTGAACAGCCTCACTGAATTGATACATATTAAAAGTAACCCTCTCAAACAGAGGGAAGGAAGAGTATTTTTAACTGTGATTAATTTGATGGCCTGGTTTACAGAGCAAACTCAGAAACTGTCCCATCAGCATGGCTAGGTGGAGGGTGAGATGAGGCAGAAAGTAATGACCTCCACTGAGTGATCAGGGTGGGGCTGGAATCCCTTGATCCAGCTACATCACCAGGTCCAGCTTGTTGCCAAAGAGCACCCTCAGGTGTTGTCCTAGGTGAGGCGATTCATTGCTTTCAATGATTGTTGCAGTGTGGGTGGTACAGTGATGTTTAAAGGGAATGATTTGGCTGTTGTTTTATTTTTATCTTCAATTTTTGTCTTTTTTTGATAGCTCTTCTGCAACAGAATGTCCTTGGCTTGAAAGCAGCCCTAAAGCTTCCCCATCGCTCCAGCTTTCAGTGGGAAACAGCAGGTCACCAGGAGGTTACCTTGGGCCCTCTGAATTTTCAAACGCCGTGCAAGATGTTTCTCTCTTGTCTCATTTCCAAACTCCAGGACTGCAAGTCGTCACCCTGAGCAGCCTGGAGAATTCACCAGCAGAGCCACAGCAAGAACCTGCTGTCAGCAGCAGTGCCCGGGCCTACCTGAGCTACAGTGGGGGCAACAGGGGCAGTAGCTCCCCCCCAGAGGAGAAACAAGCTACTTTCATAGCCAATGCTAACATCTCTCCTAAAACCATGAGCTCATCAGTGGCAAGTGCCGAGGACAGTGGCTTTTTCACACAAAACTTTCTTACAGTGGCCTCTGGACACAATAGCCAGAACAGTGCAGTTCAGCAGCACTATGGAGGGAACTTAGATGCTCAACCGCCTCTTCCAGAGAAAAAGAGGTCCTCTGAAGGAGACCGTTCCTTTGCCTCCGTGTCACCTTCTTCAAGTGGCTTCTCTAGCCCCCACAGTGGAAGCACAATCAGCATCCCCTTCCCAAATGTCCTCCCAGATTTCTCAAAAATGTTAAGCACTTCCCCAGTGCCAGGTAAGTTCTGCACCAGAGAAATGCAACATACATTAGATTTTATATGCGTTTATAAAAAGCATTTGGGGGATTTTAAAAGTGGGGAGAGGGGAAAGAAAAGCAATGAAAATGGCACAGAGGACTTGAATGTTTGCAGTAAGTGGCGCCAGTTCACTGGCTTTGGATGTATTATTCAGAGAACAAGGCTGCAGAATTCTTTCTGCACTTCCCTAGATGTCAGCCAAGGGCAGCCTACCTTTTGAACTGCCAAACCACAAGCGAGTGGTGTGGAGTCCAATTTCTTTTAATAAGGGTTGGCTTCTCTCTGCACCATTCTAGACTTGTGTCAAGAATGGTTAAAAATGTAGATGTGTATTCACTGGACCCCATTGAGAAGCTTTGTATTTAATACAGCTTTATAAATGTAAGAGTTTTTCATATTTTGTGGGTTTTGCAAAATGAAACTTCAAGAATACTTTAGGAATCTTAGTGTACGGTATTATATTTGCTGGTTCTAAAACAGTTCAGAGTTTGTCTAAATTGTCCTCATAATCATGAGTTTTTTGAATAATTAAGGTGACTGGGAGTTGGAAAGAAAAGTAAAAAATGCTTTAGTATTTAAAAAATTTCTTTACTTTTTTTTCATTTTATTTCACAGAAAACACAACTGATAAACACGTGACCGTAAAATTTGTCCAAGACACATCCAAGTTCTGGTATAAGCCAGATATTTCAAGAGAACAAGGTATATCAACTGATAGATACTCTGGCATATCCATTCACAGAAAGGCTAATTGGTGAATTCTTAAATTTTTTTGGTGCATACCTGATGTCTAAAAGAAATAATAGACAAAATAAAAAACCTAGAAGGGCCACAGTCAACCTCACTGATCACAGTCAACCTCACTTGAAAAGACTGAATTTGAGAGTGGAGGGCAGTCTATTAGTCCTTAAAAAATATTCAGTTAGTCCTTAAAAAATATTCAGTTAGACAAATTATTAGCCTAACTGAACTAACTACAAAGTAATTTAAATCTGCGTGTCATAGCTGCTGCAAATGTACTTTACTGAAAAGCTCCAGGTTTTGGAATGGCAGATATACGTGATACAATACCAAACAACTGTCTGCTCTCAGAAGCCTTTTGAGTACAAGTGTGCTGTTCTGGCATGATCTCAGGCTTGTGTGTTTTGCACAGATAATAGGTTGAGAGATGCTAAATATCAGAGAATAATTCATTAGCTAGAAGTCATCATAAAAGCATCCTTGTGTACCAGTTGTTCTGTAGCCTAAAGTTCATTGTCAGCTGCAAGTGACATACGTTATTTCTTAAAGGTCACAAAATAACGCTCCCATGGAACATCATCTTCATGGTGTATATTACAGATATAGTACATCTAGATGTATTATTGAATGAGATGGAGAAAGCTTTTATCATGTATGTGAAAATGTATAAACAAACAAACTTACACCTTGTCCCTGCAACAATGCATAAATAAAGCATGCTGGGTTCTTTGCAAATGCAATTGGTCTGACGGTCCTTGTGTCCGTATTGTAATATTCAGCTGTACTGAATTGTATTTAATGAGTTATGGCAGGTTTTTAAACTGGGATTCTTAAAATGGGATTGCCAAAAAGGAAAAATGACAAATTAGTTCTTCGTTGGGAAGGAAGTTCACACTAAACCAAAGTAGCCTTCAGCTATTAGCAAATGATGAATTGCTATGTCTGTCTAGTTTGTAGTTTCTCAAATGCTGAGGATGCTTCTTATAGTGTAGTGGTAAATATGAGCCCAGGGGAATAAAGATCATAGAAAACAGATCATTAATTCATCTTTGGATGATGTTTTAGTGGTCCTTTCATTCCAGTCCCCTTCCCCTTGTCTGCTCCCCACCCATAATGAGAATTGAGTCTCTAAATGTGCAAAAAAAAATTTCCTGATTTGATGCAAGTCCAGAGATGGGAGTAGATTGTAACAGAAGTTTAAACCTAGCTGCTTGAACAAATGAGAAGAAAATCTTCCCAACCTTTTAGTATGCCTCTTTTCACCCTACCAAGTAAAGTTCCTTTTAAAAAGTGTTTTAAGATACTGTTGCTGAAGAGAGGGAGCACTTTTTTCCCATGCTTAATGGACTGCTCCTGTGACGAATGATTACTGTCTCCCTGCAGGTTTAGCAGTGTTATGCGAGTACTGCTGAATTGCAGAGTTCTGTATATTTATCTTCCTCCTCTCAACACATGACAGATTGTTGTGAAAATAGTTGTTTTCTTCACTGCCTGACAGATGAATAGAACAGAATATATACGCGTTTGCTTTACTCACTTAAACAGGAGAGACAATTATGTCTGCATCTTCCTGATTTTCTGTTACTACTCTTTTTTTTCATGGGGAAAAAAATGTGTGTGTCTGTTTATGATGTAATCATTGCTCAGGCCTTGCAAAATATGGCTTCATGCCCCATATGCAAGATTTCCATGTTCTATGTATACAGACAGTTAAGGACTCCAGGGTCAAATTTGGGCTTTTTCCAGGGTTTCTTTGAAAGCTTGCTGATCGTTAGAAGTTCTGGAAACAAACACAAGTATTTCTAAAAAGTTTTTTTTTAAAAAAAAAAAAAGGCAAAGCACTAAGGTTTTATTAAGATCAATCATTAGATGAACCTTTTGTCTTTTTTCAAAGTGAGTTTAAGATTTTGGGCTACTAGATTTCAAAGTCTGCAGCAGACTCATGCAAAGCAAGAGCAGTTTCCCTTGCACATGGTTCCTCCTGGGGAGGACTTCATATCACACTTCCAGCAGAGATCATAGAATATAGATGTAAAATATTTAAATGCTTGGACAGTCAAAGAGCAAATATTCACTTACATCCCTTCCCTTGCTTTAAAACTGGTAAGGGAGTGAGTCTGCTTTGCAGGGACAGAAACTTGGTCGTGGATGAAGACTGATCTGCTCC